AGAAGTGTTTCTGTTTTCAACAAACAAAGTTATTTATGTTTTAACTTTACACATATTACACATTTTATTAATATACTAACGATATCTATGTATGCAATCTTGATCGGTTTATTCCTCAGAACGAATGACAAATTATATGATTTATTTGTTTACCTTATTTATATTATCCTTTTTTTCTCTTCACTTATTTTATATCAATTTGTTTAATCTTCTTTTCTTTAGTCATTATAATGTCAGATAAATTTGTTCCATATCATTTATGCGATATTAACAATCCTCCAGCTCATCTTGATGACAATCAAAAATCGAATTGGACACGTGCTGCAAAAAAAGACGAAGAAAAATTATCAATATCAACAACAATATCCAGCATTTGATATACCAACATCACTTTATCAAATTATACATGTAAACAAACATACAACAACTGAAACAATGGAAAAATTAATTAATGATGCACGAAATTGTAATGAATTTACATTTGATACTGAAGGTGAAAAATCAACCAAACAGTTAACATTAATTCAAATTCAAACAATACCTCAACAATTACCATTTTTTGTTATATTAGTAGAACTTGCACATTTACCACCAATTCATTCATTAATTCATTTACAAATTAAATAATTATTTGAATTAATTTTTAAATTTAGAAATAACATATATTCTTGGAGACCATTACGTAAGGAAATTTATCCAGCTATTGCTTATCAATGGTTTGAATGGTCAATTAAAACATCAGTGGTTAATCTTCAACTTAAATTTGCTGATTGGTATATTTGGGTACTATCTCATTGCGAGATGTGTAGCCTGTCAAATCGTCGTAATGCTATTATTAATGATATGAATTCTGATGGATAAATGGATTTATTATCAAAATGTACTTGTCATAAACCAAGTCCTTATCGTCCTAATGAACCATGAGCATTACAACAAGCTTTACTTTATACATATGGAATGTTTATTGACAAATCAATTACTGTTAATAAATGGGCAACGGAATTAGATCCAATGTATTCAACCTTATCAACATCAAAAAGAAATAAAATGATACATTACGCAATATATGATTGTTTTGCAGCAACATGTTTAATCCGACCTGTTACATTATATTGGACATTTCAACAGGTAACAAAAATTAATATTCTTGATTCATTTCAGGTATTACCATCATCATCACGAGCAAATAACAATCCAACAAATACAAATATTAATCAACAAATAATTAAGAATATTAATGATGATATTGGATTAATCTCCGATGATGATGAAATAACAGTTAATCAATGTATTAAAATTACTATTAATAATGATATGTTATATGAAGAAATTTCAAATGATGATAATGAATTAAATAAAGCATTACCATCAAATAATAATGAATCATTATAAAGGGTGAGCCAAAAATTTTGGTCGTTCTCAGAAAAATTGTTCGTTCTTCCTTATAGTAAACCCAAAAATGCTCAAACTTTGGTATCTCATCCCTTGTAAGTAGGTGAACGTTACCCCAAAGTTTCATGTTTCTATCCCTTATTATAAGAGAGATACATAGGGTAACATTCTAGAAATTTTTTTTCCCATCTCCCAAAAAAAATAGTTGGCGCATAATACATGTAGATTGACCATTTTTCTGTTTCAATTTTTCACCATTTAATACGTTCTATTAGGAAAACAAAATATACCACAAGATGCAGCGTGAAAAGTTCTACAATCTACACAACAAAGTGTATTCTACATGTGTAATTTTTGTTGTCAAAAACAGCGAAACTTTGCGCGATCAGTTTTTTGCAATGGCTAAAATTAACCGTACATATTTTCGCTTTTTTTGACAACAAAAATTACACATTTAGAATACACTTTGCTGTGTAGATTGTAGAGCTTTTCACGCTGCATCTTGTGGTATATTCTGCTTTTTCTTAAAGAAATGTATTTGGTGATGAAGAGGTGGAAAGAAAATGTACTTTTCGTTCGTATAGAAAAAAACAACTTTTTTTACAACTGTCAAAATTGATTGCATAGAGTTTTGATTCTTTTAAAACAAAAATTAGATAATTAAAATACGCTTTACTGTGTAGATTGTAGAGCTTTTCACGCTGCATCTTGTGGTATATTTTGTTTTCCTACTAGAACGTATTAAATGGTGGAAAAGTAAAATACAAAAGTGGTCCATCGTCAACCATATTTTGGGACATGAGAAAAATATTTTCTAGAATATTACCCTATGTATCTCTCTTATAATAAGGGATAGAAACATGAAACTTTGGGGTAACGTTCGCGTACTTACAAGGGATAAGACACCGACGGTTGAGCATTTTTGGGTTTACCATAAGGAAGAACGAACAGTTTTTCTGAGAACGACCAAGACTTTTGGCTCACCCTTTATGAAGCAATATCAGATGATGATAATGAACCAAATCCTGTATTACCACCAAGTGATAATGATTTATGTGTCAACAACCATTCTATGGTTGATGATGACAAAAATAATGATCAATCCAACTCCATGAAGTACTGATATTTTTTTTTTGTTAAAAAAAAGTGTTT